TGTTCATTTAGACATTGCAACACTAATATTTCTGTGTCTTATGCAAACTCATATTTTTCCTTTGCCTGGGTCTATTTGAAAAATACAACACTACATCTAACATAATAATAACGATTATTAGAATTAAATTCCTTATAATAAATACCCTGAGCAATCACCCTCAAGTAGTAGGTGTTTTTCTATTAAAAGGGAAACGTGGCGTGGGCCAAGAATAACAAGAGTGAACAGAACTGAACAAACGTTCTTTCAATCACTATCAACATGGTTAGGGGACAGGCTGATGTATTCCCCACTCAAGTTAAAATCTGCGAGAGATTCACTTTTCAAAGCCTGTCAGCCTTTTGGGGCTGTGACATGTTTCCACGAGGAACACCTGTCCCTCATAGACAGTCATGCTATGTTCAAAGATTCAGTAACTGAGAACCACCCTGGAGCTCTTAACCTCAATCTTTCAACAGTTCAAAGTTTCTTCAGACTCTTGAACCCTCCAACAACAATCTGATACAGGTAGTAAGGAAATAAATCATCGTCACTGTGGAGTTACTGCACTGACTGCACATTTTTTTGTTTCATAGTCTGTTGAAAAAGCAATTCTTATTATTATTATTATTACATACACAAATTATTTTTTTATTCTAGTGCTATTAGTAGAAGAAGTTCTAAGATTAGAAGAAGATGATGATGATGAAGAAGAAGAAGAAGAGGTAGAAGATATAATTGCAGAAGTGATAGCTTTATTGTTTTAGTGGAGTATTTCTAGAAGTAGTTATTCAATGCTATTATTAGTCATTTTAGGATTTGTGTAATTGTGTGCAAAGCAGACCAGCTTCATTAACATAATACAACATAATAATAATAATAGTAAGGCACTTTGTATGTCAATATGAAAATGTAAGGTTATCAGCAACAATGAAGGCAGAAAAAATATTTTCTCAACAGCATTTAAAAATGCAGAAAATAGGCTGTGCATGGTAAATCCACATGAAAAGAGTGGCCACTTTCCATCTGAAAAACTCAACATCAATAAATATTGCTCCTACCCCAGCGTGATCACATCAGCACATTAGCCACTATGTGCTTTGAAGGTAAAAATGCTGATTGATGACTCGTATTTAATCATGCAGAACAAAAACCCGAGTTGAATTAAGAAACCAGACCATCATTCATCTTCAAGTCCTGTTTTTTGCAACGCATTAGTCAGTGGAGGAGCCTCAAAAGTGTGTTGTTCCCATACTTGCTTTGTGTGATAAAGACATGGGCATGTGAAATGCAAGAAAAAGTATGGATAAACAGAATATTTTAAACTTCCCATGAAGTCTACTGCTGGCCTATAAAAAAGACAGTACTAATATATTTTTGATAATAATCATACCATTATGTTTTCTACAAATAAGCTTCTTTCAGTTTAAGATATTTTCCAAGATCAAATTGGTCCTCTCCTCAAAAAAAAATTGGAAATTGTCATGTGTATATTTATTGCATCAAGTCTATTTTAATGCAGTTCCCTTTACATTATAATAAACCCAATCTTCAGCTCATCTGGAGAGAGCAGCCAGTGATTCAGCTCGCACTAAAAATAAGAATACACCAATCACACCAATACTTGCGTCATTCCTCTGGAAACCTGAGAGTCAGGCTTAAGATTTTCTTGAGTACTTTTAAAGCTCAGATGGTTCTGGGTCGACCTGTCAATACATTCTGTCAACATCATTCTTAAAATATAATTTTTGTATTATTATTATTATTATTATTATTATTATTATTATTATAAGTAGTAGTAGTAGTAGTAGTAGTATCAAAGTTGTGTACTGTGTAATGATTTTGTTGGTGCTAAAACACAACCAACAGTCAAGACTGTGGTCTAATGCAATTCAAATAAATTTTATGAAAATCAGAGTTGATTTAGTGATTTCAGAAGTGTGTGAAGATCTCAACCGAAACCTGTGTGCAGTGTGCAGCAGAAAATTAAAATACAACTGAAAGGTTGCGGAGGGACTTTCACTAGAATATTTCACTGGCATTCCTAGAGGTTTTGCCCTGAAGCAATGCCTACAGCTACCAGGATTTCAATAATGAGCAATAATAAAAAAAATAATCCAACTCCAAAAACTAAATATCACACATTTGAGTCCTACACTGTATAATTGTCTGGCATTCATTGGCATAAAAAAACAATATTTAAATAAAACACTGCTCTGAATAAAACTACAATGTAAGGACAACTGGCATTGCTAAATCACACTTTAGAACAAGATCAAAGCTTGGTTTTATTTACATAACATATACACAGTATATCCTTAATCAATATAGAACAGATCTACCAGGAGGATGGAGTACGGGAAAGACAAGTCAGTACACAACTAACCCACTGGAACTAATTACATTTTGTCTGTAGAAAAATACCAGTGTCAGTCACACAAGTATTTTTCTATCAACAGGAACTGTGCAGGCCTTAGCTGAATTATTTCTCTCCGTAGGTTATGAAACACATGAATACCAACAGTCCCTCAGCAGGCTTTCGTGGCCTATCTCCACTGCCGGTTCTCATGGTTACAGAAACGTAATAGTCTAGCCATGACAGTGGGAGAAAGTTGGGATTAGAGAACACATCTGGATAAGCTGTAATAGGGTAAAACGCAAGAACAGCAGCCCTCTCCCAAACCCAGCAGGTTGAGCTTGCCTCCTTGCTGTTCAGTCTCTGTAGGATGTGCAATGACTCAGCAGTCGTTGGCTGCTGGAAGTGTCCTCAAGGGGCACCCTAGGGACCAGAGGCATGCTGGGTAACAGACACACACACACGTACCTGTACACACTGCATGAATGCACTTTAAACGCTAAGCCATACACATGCACAGGGCATCTTTGTTGCCATCCATCTATATGTGTTTACACAACACACACATGCACACATTAACAATCAGCACTGAACATAATTACTTATTACTGATTGAACTGATTTGTCTATAGTGATACACTTACTTTGCATTGCATTGCAACAACTGTTCTTTGTCTAACCGTCATGCAGTAGGTTAGAATGAAAAGAAAGGTAGCAACTAATTTTATCATTACATCCCAACTGGAATGAGTCTTAATATAGCACATCATTTTCAGCAAGGGTTTTTATTCACAGTATATAAGAGATCCCTTAAAATCACTTAAGTATCAAGACAATTGTTCAAAAACTGCTATCGCTTATTTGCATGCATTAAAACCAGGGTCAAGTAAGTCACGTGTGCAAAGGGGGAGAACTGCCCAGCGGCTTGAATACATTAAAGCAGAGTAAATGGTTTGTTGATTTAAAGAGATTAAAGCACACACAAGCAGGCCTGCTCGATGGATTTTAATTAACTTGCCATATATAAATTGTATGTTATCAGGCATTACTGAATTAAATGCTGAATACAAGTGCTCTTTCTGCTTGGGTGAGTTGAATAAAAAGCTACTTAGAATCTCGATTGGCTCTCCCAGATGTAGCATGATGCTGCAGCTACGGGTGCTCTGAATACATTCCAGCATATCAACCCCTGAACAGCCATCCAAGGAGATTCTCTTTAATTATGTACAATACAGCCAAATTCAAGTCCCCTGGCATCTCAGATGATCAAGCAGAGGGATGCCACGTTCTCTCCCTGAGTCATTCGGGCAAATGGATTCCACTTCCAAGAGTCATTTCTGTCAGTTATAATAAGAAGCTAATACATAATGTGACACACTCTGAAATGCAAAACTATTCACAAGGTTCTCTGCAAGGCTGTGCAGGGGCAATTAGAATTTTGCCGCTAGGCCCTTGATGAGTTCCTCTATCTCCGAAGTGTCCTGGGAACAGTATCATAAATCTGCCAGTTAATATGCATGATTTAGGTTTGTGTTTAACTTTGCATAATGTGAAACAGAACTTACATTTTACCCACATAGCACCTCTGTGTAAAAAAAAATGGAAGAGAATCCATTTTGGCTGAAACTCAGGTAAACAAATGCAGACAGGAGTAGGCACTGTAGACACTAAAGGGGTATGTGGGTAAAGGAAATCTGTCTGTCAGGTACTGCCTCGACACGGCACTGAATTTACTCCAAGAGATTTTTCTTTCAGTGTATACACTAAGCAATTACTAAGTTGTAACTGAGTTTACCGACAAATAAGTGCTGGGGGACTGAGCTGAGTATCCAAATGGCATTTCTGCTTCCAAACAGAATTCTGTAATCTCAGGACTTTACAGCACACTAATCGACAATTTGAATAAGAGTATCTTCAGCAGAACTGCTATTATCTTCTGGCATTTTCAGGCACTTGACATGGCTCACATACTCCCTGAGCTCAAATGACCTTCTGAACAAGCACACAGGCTCATCTGGCCCTTAGGGGAAACACCAATCCCCAGAACGATGAATTCAATACATATGGCTTCCCACTTCCTGGCACTAATTTCACAAGAAACCTGCCAGACCAGTTCTCTTAAAAGTCCACACAGGATTCGCACACTGCAACATAAGCAAGAACGAAAGAATAAAATATCTGGGAAAGATTAACAGCAGAGGTAATAGTATGCCAAACGTCTGGCTGTACTGGAAGACTTGTAATTGTCTTTTCTCCAAGAGTCAAAATTGTAAATATGTTGGCCTTTAGCCAATTTCTGAAAAAAAGCTAAGTTTAATAAAAATGTCAAGTTCAATTTGGTGAGACTGAAACAGTGTGTACCAAGACATGTACAAAGACAGAAGAGATGCAACTCATCTTGTGACTGTATGGATTCCAGTTGAGCATGATCAAAAACTAAACAAATCTAAACCAACATAATCATCATTTAGTCTTAGACTGCACAATGCAGAACAGTCTAGCTTTTGTTTATCGTTGTCTCAAAGACATAGCACGTCATTCTGCTTCAGTGTACAGGAACGTGGTAATACAAATATATTCCTTTTCAACATCAAACTCAAATCCACATGGAAAAAGACACAGTGTAAGAACTGGCAGAGAAGAGTAAAAGAGGAAAGTGCCCTACCGTTTTCTGTGTTCTCGTGTTCAGTGTCAGTGAGAGTTAGATTGGAGTTTGCCCTGCTGGAGAGGCACGAGCTGCGGCCTGACTTGGTGTTGCTGCGGCCCCATAATCTGACCGCATGCTCTGGCGACATGATGCCGTCTGTCTCCGTGTCTGCATCTGAGCCCACACTGACTGAGTAGTCGCGGTGTGGCATCCCCAGGTCAGTCCTGTACGTGGCTACGTGGGATGGGAGACCCTCTCCAAAGCCAAGGTTTCGAAGGGAAAAGTCTGCTCCTGCAGCAAGCCAATAAATACAAGGCTCTGGTAATTAAATCTGCCACTAACTGCATCACTTAACATAATGAACTGTATTCATTGCAGAAAAAGATGACAGCAATATCCTGGCCTTGAGAGGTGCAGTAATCATTTAAAAGCAAAACCTTCACAAGCAATAGTTGTGGAGTTACATGAGTTACATTTCGTATTTAAAGACCCTATGCACAACATTCTTATGTGATTATAACACCATTAGCATCTTTCAATGTGCTGCTTTCACCATATTCATCTCAGTATCCTGATGTCAGGCCCAATTCCTACCACAAGGAGATACCAGAGTAGGACATTTTTTTTAGATCTTATACAATGGGGATGTTTTGCATTAGCGTTTGTCTTTCATTCTTAAGCAGGAGCAGTTTGGAAGAGCGGGTTGTCCACTGATCAGAAGGTTGGCCTTAAGCAAAATACTGAGCCTCACATTGCTCCCGATGCTGATGTCTGATTGTGTATGAATGAATTACTTTCCGTTTGTGATGGCCTTTGTCATTACTGTATGAATGGGTTAATGTGGCATGTAGTGTACAGTGCTTTGAGCGGTCAGAAGATTAGAAAGTACAGTCCATTGGCAGAAACGTTTTCATTTGTGGATAATCACCCGAAAATAAGAATTGTTCTGTTTTCATTAACTTAGAAATTTTTATCTACAAAGGAAGTCAGTCCTCTTCCACAGAGTCTGCTGTTCTTACAGTAGATCACAATGGACAAATCCTGGCTGGTAGCTTTGCAGCAACCATAGTTGGTTGCAATCCGCAACTTCACTGCTAGATGCCACAAAAACCTACACACTTTAAAGGTCGTATTTTAAAAATGAGACATCACTCTCTTCAATTTTCTCTCTCCTAGGTTTTCTACCGAGTCAGGGGACCTGTAAAGCAGTCACTGGTGATTTGAGAATCTCACTACATTTTGTAACTGCTGAAAATGAAAAAAATACAATAAAAATAAATCAAAGAAAATAAAATCCTACAATGGCAGACCTATGGTCCAGTTACCTCAACAGTGCTATCACATCTGATTTGAACTTAAATGATCAATAATATATCTGAACGAGCAGGTGAAGGTATGCATGTCTTCCATGAAGTTTTTAACACTGGCATGGTAAGTTCAATCCCTGGCCACCTCTGTTAATAGTCACACAATGTGGTGTGACCTCTACAGTGACTGAATGTGAATTACCATGAGACCTCATTAAAAAGCAATGATGCATATATTGAGACCAAGCAGTAACTTGCCCTTAACCTAATAATCGGTGTTTTCATGTCATTATGAACTGCTTATATACTTAAAGATGAACTGTACTGATATCAATGACTGTCTCTTCTATTGACATAATACCACAGTATTTTTAATATATATAGCACACTTAAAGCTAACCTTGCCGGTTGAACTCGTCCACCTCGTGATGAACCATTTCCTTGACACGGCTCCCGTAGGCCATCCTTGAGTCATGGTCGAAGGCCTTGAGTGTTTCGCTGGAGCTGTAAGATTTGGGGTTGGGTTTGCCGTCCTCGCTGTCTGCTGAGGAGCTGGTGTAACGGCGCTCTGTGTCCTGCCGGGCAGTGAGTGAGCGGTAAGGTCTACGTTCCTTCACTTCCATGGCTGCCTCCACACTATTTTCAACATCAAATGTGGTTACAATGCCAGTTTAGTTTGAGTGATTCTGTGGAAGAAAAACACACAAAAATAAAGATACTTGACGTATGAAAAGATGCCTGACAGCAGTGTTAATATTATTAGTATTAAATGTAATCTTCTCATAATGCATCATCAAACATATAATCAATTGCAACCATGATTAACAATTATTTTAAGAGGTATAATCTTAAACAATTTAAAGATTATTGATCATTTTAAAGTAGAAATCCCTGATTCTATACATGCACTCACTCACACACACACACACACACACACACAGTTACCCAAGCAACTGTGAAAATAAAGAAATGCAAATGCATGTTTGCAAAAAGCTGTGTATGCATGGCTCAGCACGCACAGGGAGAGCATGAAGAACCACCAGGATTAGATTTAATAAAATACGGCACAACAAATCTTGCACCTATAAAGTTTACGGTGCAAGTCTGCCACAAATATTCTATTTTATGTGCCATATAGAAATGCTGGGCCTCCAGCATCTGTAAAAGTGACAGGTGTCCTTCCATGAATTGTGTTGTTTATAAGTTACAAATCATCACCAGTTGAAAACCGAGGAGCCAAACAAATCTAGGACTACACTGAACCAGCAGAGATGATTAAAATCTGAAACATAAAACCCCAACTGTCAAATAGCACACCAAGCATAAGATCAATAGAAGGAGGGAATTTTAGCATTTAGCTATGTGCCGCATTTTACATTCTTGCCTTGAAGGACAAAATAAATAAATAAACATGCTTTAAAATATATTTAAACATAATTGTTTTTGGTTTTGCTATTTACTATTTATTTTTCAGTTTAAAAAAAGGAAAAAAACAATAAAAGACCCTGACTGAAGAATATAAATTAATGTGTAATATTACAGTTGTTAACTGATGATGCCTTGCAAACAGCTCTTTCAAAGCGACCACATGGTTTAAAGATATTGAGTTGGATTAACAAATGTCAATGTGGATATAATGTGATTAAAGGCTTGGTCACTGTTTACTTTGAGGCTCAATTACCGAACAGGGAATTAGTGAGTCAGATATTGCAGCAATATAATATACTTCCAAATGCAATGTCATGATGATATAGCCATAATTATATATCATGAGCTGAAAGCCTTATCATTCATGCTGCAGGATTCTACTTCCATTCTACTTGCCCCCACACTTGAAAATGTATTTTACTATAAGCAAAACAAAGATGTAAGTCACTGGATAAGAGAACACAGCTCTTTAAAAAATGGATAAAAAACTACTACTGGCAAATCTGGGAGTTTTTACTGACAATATGCCTGTGTTGTTCAGACAAGGATTTTTCCACAAGATAAGCTCTTTATGAATACTGTATGAGATTTGTTCCGGACAGAACAGTAAACAATAATCCCTAGTGAACTATATTTGCCCCTGCCTCGAAAAAAAAACTTTTTATTGAAGACACCATTGTTGGGTTTTGGGGTTTCTTTTTGTATGTATTGACAGCTGAAAAGATCCTGGTGATTAATGACTTGGGGCCTCAATACCAGGACCTCTGCCACATGGGGGGAAGAAAATGCTCCCACTCTGCAACTGCAAGAGCACTTCAGCTGCTCCCAAGATTTCAAATGCAGCTTGTATGGGTTGCTAATTTTTACCTTTTTGCTCAAGAGCCTTGATGCTATGCAAATGTGAGTGAGCGGAGAACAAGCAGCTTTCTAAAGTTTCAAGAATGTTCTGTAAAGTGTATTGTTTTTGTTTCCAAAGAGCTAGGCTCAGTGCTTCGGCCATCTCTCTTCTGTACAGCCCTTCCTCCTCATTATTAATCGGCTGGTATGCAATGAGATGTACCGTTGAGGCCATGGGAAACCCAAAGGAGTTTTTCAAAGAAGCAACAGGCCATACACGATAACTGATGATATGGGAGGCAAATGTGGGTCCTGTAAACATATCTTGCTTGACTACAGCAATCAGAATTTTCACACAAAGCATATTGTAAAACTAAACAGTGCTCTTCTTCATAAATAGGCTACATCTGGCATTATCATTGTGTTTCAGCGCCAGAGAGCAAAGCTGTTGTTCATCTGTCTAAGTCTAAATCCTGGGAGAAGGAGCCAAAACAAAGAAAATGCCATTGTTGTATTATTTTAATGTACTGGTACGTAAAAATAATAAACAGAAGGTTTTATTTAACCATGATATCTCAACACTTCATAAGAAACAGAAGAAAGAACTGATAAGAGGACTATTTTTAAAGTGTTATTATCATCTCATAGTAAGACACAGGGGACTGAAAGTAGAAGCTTGAAACACTGAAGGAGAAGGTTAATGAGGGTACATTCACAAAGTCTCAGAAACGGTATTTACAAAGAGTGAAAAATGACTGCCATGGATTGAAATCTCTGAAATCAAGATAACAATCACATGCCTTTATTTCAAAGACAAAGTTCGTCTAAAGCTTGAGCTGCAGAGCTTGAGCAGAGCCAAAGAGAAGCTAACTGCATATCTATGCAATGATCCAAAATCAATTGAGGTCTCTCTGGAAAGACAAAAGAAATGATGGATGGTCTGTTTTCCACTCTAAACCAATTGCACACTCTACATTTTTCAATTGAATTGTCTATAGTTGGCCAGGTTAGAGTCAGAAGTGTCTGGGGGGGTAAAGCAAATGTTTAACAGTTGTAAGTAGAGTAATAATGCAGTTTTTCTATAGGAAGTGTTGCAGGGAGCAATGAACTATGAATTATGTCAATTGAGATCCTTGATGCATGTGACTACAGACTTAAACATAAATGTGATCAACAAAAAAAAATCATTTTCATAAAGAGATGAACAACCTAGTAAGCATAGCCTATGTGTGAAGGTATGAATGTTTGTCACCTGAGTAAGTTGGCCATGGCAGAAATTATCATCTGAATCATTCTTTCCTTCAAGGTGTCTATGGTGTATCCATCAGCTAAGAACAAATTATGTACATCAGAATGTTCTGAATAGGTCATCACAGATATTTTTGGAAACACTTAAGCTTTTCAATAAAAAGTTAAATCAAAAATGGTTTCAATTGACATTTGAGGAAAGTGGTTGTATACAGAACACGTACACATATGGGTCAAATTGCTACAGACAGCATATGATCAGTAGCATAGGCATATTGTCTGTCTGGTATCAAGAGTTCATTTTTTATGCTGTGTGTACAATTTCACTGCCTATGATCAAAGATTAAAACCAGTTTAATATACCGGACAGTAGGCAGAGCTTATGCTGCCGCAGTGAAAAGCTTAAAGTGCTGCCAGTGTCAGAGGGAAAGCACCTACCTCAGCCATCAACCACAAACACACTTAAATACCATTTGGATAAAAATATTTAAACACACCTTCAGTTAAAGGGTTCTGATTATTTTTAACCCAGGCCATTATTACCCCAATTTCTATAGTCTATGTATGACAATTTTGTGTTAAAAATGTAATCATCTTTGGCACTAAATCTTTGCATACGGCCAGTTCACCACTGGCACTGTATTTAAATATGCCCTCAAATGATTTTCAGGAGCAAAATGTAGCATTTTTTTAATGCTGCAACAATGGATTATTTTAATTATTATTAATCAAGAAAATGTCAGAGAGTAGTGAATAAAATCCCATCTTAAAACTGTTTATTCTGTTTACCAATACAAAAACCAAAGATATTCAACACACAATAAAAGAAAATTGAGTTTTGAGTCCTATGATTTATGCTTGCTGAGAATAAATAACACTAGCATCTGCGCTGTATTAAGTTGAGTTTTTTTCTGTTTGTGTTCAATTCATACTGGATAGTCAGTTCCTCTTCACTCCCCAAGACCAAGTGACGCTAAAGAAGATAACTAAAGTTGTAAAAATGCAAGCAGGCTAAAAAGTTTGTAGGTTCAGAGGTGCCCCTCGAAGCAATGGCAGCATCTCACACCGCTCAAAATCTGTCAAACCAACCCATAAAACAAACCACCCACAGTGGGATCAGCGGGTTACAGAAGCCCCTGTTAAAACACTCGCTGAGGTTTTTGCTGGGCAGATCGTTGTGACCATTGCTCCAGTGTCAGGAGTTAGTTAAATATGGGATCTAAATACGTGGGAGGCGTTTGGGGTACAATATAAATGCAAATGGCTCGGTACTATCCATCAAACAATTAGCAGTGTGCTGAGAATTGCTATTCAGTGCTGCTGCATATAAATCTAGCCTTCAATCTGCACACAACCCTGTTTTCCATGATAATTAACCGCTTGCTGCTCTTTACATGTCATAGATTTTCCATGCAGAATCCAAGACTAAATGCTAACTAACATTTTTGGGCAACACAGAAAACAGACAGAGCAACACATGCACAATGACAAATCCCTTGGTAGTATAATATAAGATGATTACAGATTACTTGTCTGTGAAATCACTTAATTACTTAGTATTATTACTAATTACTATCACTAAGATTGAGACATAATGTGTTACTGATTAGTGATGACATTTTCAGACGAATGACTGATGATATACAGAGCATGAGCTGAATATTTTTTGGAGGACTATAGCTTTTCAATACAGGGAGCCCACACTAACATTTCAACATATTATAAGTAAGCATATAAATGTCAACACTCTTTAACAAATCAAACCCAAATCACATTTATGATTTATGCAAAAATATCTAATCATATGTTTTTCTACCAATTATAGACAACATATACAAGACATCCAACTTTTTAAAATATATTTTTGCTGTATTTTATTATCTAACCTGGTCACGTAGTGAAAGGATTAGTGACAGTTAACTCACAACACTGCAGACAAACATATACTCACAAAAGCAGCCTGTAGAGCAACAGAGAGGAAATTTGGGCAGATATCAAGAACATTGTCTACAAGTTCCATTGAGAGCAAGGAAAGCTCCATACAGGAACCACTTACTTCTATTCTGGAAATCTTTCACATGCCTAGGCTCTATAGAAAAACCTCCTCGGTCAACAGAAAGGTGTGTTTTCAATAGAGGAAAAAAGACTTGGGTGGATGGGGTAGGGGGCTCAA